GTACCGCCTTGTACTAATGGTCGTGTGTATTTTTCTTTTGGGTTTTTAATTGATTTGCAAGATTATTTAGGTTAGTTTCTGATAAGGATGCAATTGGTTGTTGAAAGATATTATTGGTAATCCTTGAGCAGTTTGTATTCCAACAGGTGGTAAGTCTAATTGTTGTTTATATTGTTGTTTTTGGCATCTTTGTTTTCTATAACAAATTGTAAGTATTGTTACAATTGCGGTTAATATTGCTAGTATTGTTCCTAGTATTTCTAATAATGTAATTAAGGTCTGATTATTATTTGTTGATTCTGTGCTTGGTGTTGCTACTATTATTTGTATTGATTGTGATTGTGTTGGCTTTTCTCTAGCATTCTGTATCATGCTAAATGGCATTGATATTGTTGAGAATAATATTGTGCTTGTTAATATTGGCATTAATGTTATTGGTACTATTACATTAGCATTTTCAAATGTATTTTTTCAAGGTTTTCTTAATTGTGTGACTTCTTTTAGACAATAAATTATATAATACGTATTGTTGAGTTTTTGTCGTTGGTATCTATAGCTATGTTCAAGTATTGTTTGTAAATGTTAAGAAGATCGGTTTTGAGATAGTAATTCTTTTTTCTAAGGTAATTATGTAGTGTATTTCTGGATTTGGTCGTAATATATTATCTAGATCGTTATAAATTATGAAAGCTAGTAGTGTTAATATAAGATAAATAATTATCTTCATCTCTTTGGATACGTTTGTATAAAATAACTTAATATAGATTATTTCATTAAATGATTGCAGTCCTCTTCTTGGAGTAATCAATTCCTTGAGTCAAACGTAAGTAGTCTGATTAATAGCCAGATGTATTCAATACTTGTCTACTTCTTCATCACTTAAGTACTTTCAATAGATATTAAGAGTCAAATATAGTTTCGTTGTTATAAATGGTTTTATTTATTAAATATATTTATTATATATATACAGGTTATTATTATAAGAATGTATACTAGTTAGATTTTATTTTTCATGGTAATTTCTTTACGATTATTTATTATATGATTATTATATTGGTTTAATATATTGGTATGTAGGTGTTATATACTCTAATTATATATTCGAGTTGTAATATTATTTTGCAAAGGATAATTTATAAAACAATCAATATTTCAAGAGTAAATTATAAAATGAAGCTATCTAAATTTCAAAATTATGAACGTACGAAGTTCTAGCTAAAGTGAATTATGGTAGTTTAAATACTTTTTCAAGTAATACATATTTCAAATGTTGAATAATAAAAAGTTAAATTTAATTATACTTTTTTTGGATCTATTGTATTAAACTATATTTAAATAATTAATTAATTCTTTATTAAATTTAGCGAATTTTAGCATTTTTACAATTTTTCGAAGTTTTCTGAATTTTTGGTATAGCGGTATTATAGTTAAATGTTTTTCTGTATTTTGGCAGTTATTTGTGTATTATGATACACTTATTGTTTTCTTTTATTTATTATGATTGTCATTATTTGTTGTAATTTTGATAGATCATTAGTAAGATCGTTAGTTTAATTTTTCTTTTTCTGGT